GCATTAGATTCTAGAAGTGAAGGATTCAGTCTCACAAGATTGCCCCTACTTCAGACACCAGCACAAGTAGGGTCCCCAGGCCACCTGCACTTCTGCCCAGCGGACTATAATTTGGGGGCTTTCTACACAAATAGGAAATCATTATGTTGTACATTTGACAGTAACATAATGTTATATGTCCATTCCATCTCAATTTTTAAAAACAGTCAAAAGAAATTCGTGAGTTTTCAAGATCCTCCTCAGGTTCGATAATTTGCTAGAACAACTCATAGAATTCAGCAAAGAGCTACCTTTACAATCACAGTTTTACTATAAAGGATACAACTCAACAACAGCCAAATGAAAGAGATGCAGAGGGCAAGGTATAGCACTGGGGGACAGGGCACATGCCCTTTTGGGTGCTCCACCCTCCCAGAACATCCGTGAGTTCACTAACCTGGAAGCATCTCAGAACGTCGTTGTTCAAGAGTTTTTATTGAGGCTTCATCACTTAGGCACGATTGGTTAAATCATTGGCCACTAGTGATTGAACTCAACCGCCAGCCCATCTCCTCTCCCTGGAGGTTGGGGGTGAGGTTTTGAAAGTGCTAAGCATTAAATCCCATGCTTGATCTGTCTCGTGTGATCAGCCCCTCCCTTGAAACTAAGGGTCCACATGAGTCATCTCATTGGCATCAATTCAGATTTGGTCAGAAAGAAGCTTTTTATGAATAACGAAACACATTCCTATCCCTCAGAAAATTCCAAGGGTGTTGGAAGCTCTGTGCTAGGAGCTGGGACAAAGACCAAATATACTTTTTATCGTACTACAGTTCTGAAGAGTGTCTTTGGGAAAAATCTCTTTACTTCAGTTTTCTGAAATGTAACCTGAGGTTAAAATATTTAACTTTCTCAAAAACTATGACCCTCTGGATCCACCACAATGCTTAACACAGTTCTTGTACAAAGAATGCACCTCAGTGTGTGTGTACTTAGTGTGTTTCTCAATTAATGAATTGACAGTGCTGGTACATGCCTCTTAGGCCAGAATGCGGCTATTGTTAGTGAGAGAGCGTTGCTGGGATCCCCAAAGACTAAGGGCCCTGGGAGGGTTAGACAATTAGATTAAGAATAGGAGGTGACTGTTCCCAAACCAGCGGTGTTCTTTCAGATTCCTTTGGTAGCAAGAGACAGAAACCTGACTCAAATTTGCTGAAAGGAGATTTATTGAAAAAAATATTTGAAGGTGGCTCAAGGAATAAAAAGAGCTCTTGTTCAACCATGATTAGAAAGAGAGAAAACCAAGAAACTTCTGGGACTCCAGACATGGGAACCATGACTTTAACACCATGAGGCTTCTGTCTCTTTATCTCTCACTCTTTCTGTCTCTGTTTCTCTCTCTGCTCCCATCCTCTCAAATATTGTTTACTTTTGTATGTTAACTTCTTCCCTGACACTGCAGCAACAGTTGTGGGACTAGAGGGAAACTGGTCTTCCCACCACCCCATCCTAAGACTTCAGTTGGAAATATCCAAGGCTTGGGCTCAGATTCTGACTCCTTAATCAATCGCTATAGTTGGGGAACTGGAGGGAGAGGAGTCACATAAGCAGAAAATAATTACAATGTCTAATATTTATTGAAATTTACTATACACCAAGCATCATTCTAATCTTCAGTTAGCAAACACTTATAAAACACTCAGTATGTGCCCTATTTTAGGTGCTTTATAGATATTAACCATTGAATCCTCACAACAACCCTTAAGCAGGTGCTATGTTAGATTACAGGTGAGCCAGCAAGGCATGAAGACCTAAGAAACTTGTCCAAGATCACATGGCTAGTAATTGGCAGAGCTGGGATGTGAACCAGGCAGTCTGGTTCCCGAGTTTGTGCTTTCAACATGGTGCTATATCGTCTCCCCACATTACATGTTTTAACCTATATTTGAGGAAAGTAGTGTAATTATCTCCATTTTACAGATGGAGAAATGAGAGACAAAATATGCCTGTTAAGTGGTAGAGTCAGGATTCAAACTCAGAGAGTCTGAACCCAAAGCCCATGCTTTCAATCATTCCTCTGTGCTGCAGGGTTGGGGGCCGAGGGATGCCTGCCTTGGAGAATGGGGAGAGACATAAGATGTTGAATCCATTGCATTCATTAAGTATGCAAAGCCAGCCACTTTTAGGAATTCTTTGTAGCCTCAACCCTAAGCTGGGGAGTCAGGCATGCTCAGCAGGAGAAGAGCTGTGGTCAAGGTCAAGGTCAAGGAACAGAGCCAACAGAGCCATGGGGGGAAATCAGGGCTAGAATAAGAGTCTAAGGAGACTGAGCGGGCCTGGGGCCCTGATGCGTACAGCCACTTCTCTGTGAGGGTCCATACAAGAGAAGATGAAATGTTGCATTCAAGAAACAGCTGGAATTTTTTAGAGCTCCCGCACCCCTGGTGTGTCCTTGCCCTAGAAAACCACAGGACTGTGTCAACTTAGATTCCCTCAGAAATGCCTTCACCACGTTTTGATTTAATGTCTTGCTCTCAGCTTTTGTGAAGAATTCAGATAAGAAATGGCCATTTAAGGAACATTCTGTGGTCTTCAGGAAATCTGCCACCGAACACATTGTCCTCACTTCTTATATAATGAGCATAATATTCTGCCCAAAATTTAGAGCCAGAGAAGTATTTGTCTCTCCAGCAAACGTGTGCTTATTCTTATCAGACAGTATGAACTATTCAGCACACGTTTTCCTCTTAGCATTGGTCCCTGTGAACCATAAGTTAAATTGAGTGCTTAATTGTTCCAATATCACCCGAGGTTCTTGGATGCCTGCTAACGAGTCCTGATTTCCCTTTTTGTCTTGAACCATCTTGGTGGTGTTTCTTTAACTTTTTAATTTTGAAGTAGAGCATCCAAAGGAGTGTACAAAACAAAAATGTACAGCACAATGATTATCTCAAGATATATATCCATCTAACCACCACCCAGGTCAATAAACAGGAATTGCCAGCATCCCAAAAGGCCTCCTCCCGAATACCACGCATCCCTCTCCACAACCCCTCCCTGATTATTCTGACTGCTTCGCTTCTCTTTACGTTCCTCCTATCTAAGAGGATGTCGCTCAACGCTGTGGTTCAGTGTTGCATTTTTTTCTTTTAACTTTATCTAAATGGAATCACGTACTATGTAAACTTTTGTGACTGGCTAATTTCAGTCAGTATCATACCTGAGTACATACACAATCCTTGTTATTGTTTATATTTGCAGTTCATTCATTTTCATATCTATATAATATGTCCTTATATGACCAGATCACAATTTATCTATTTTACTGTTGATAGACACTGTGGCTTTTTATTTCACTTTACTTTGGTTATGAATGTGGCTGAGCACCTCTCACATGGTTATGGGTCATTTGGAAATCCTCTCTTTGAACCACGGAAATAGATTCTCCTGTGGAACCTCCAGAAGGAACACAGCTCTGCCAACACCCTGAAATTAGCCCAGCAACACCCATTTTTCTCTTTTCCAGAACCATGAGATGATATATTTGTGTTCTTTTAAGCCAATAAGAGCGTGGTAATTTGTTACAGCAGTAACAGGAAATTAATATGCAAGGAAAGGGAAGATGTCTGCTTAGATGATTAAAATAGCTTACATTTTAAGAAATTAAATAATTTAATATTTTTACATTATTAGGACATTGCAGCATTTCCCATTTTCCATATTTAATATTCTATCATTCAAAGTAGAAGAACGATTTTTAAAACTGAGGTGTAATTTACGTGCAGTGGTATGCACAGATCCTTGGTGTAGAGTTCAATGAGTTTTGACCAATGCCTACATCTGTGTAACCAACACCCAAATCAAGTTTAGAACATTTCCACTATCCCAGAAATTCCTCATGTCCCTTTCTAGTCATTCCCCAGCACCTCCCTGCCCCCACCACCTGGGCAACCACTGGTCTGACATCTATTCCCACAGATTAGTTTTGACTCTTCTAGAACTTCAAATAAAAAAAATCACACTATCTAGTCTTCTGTGTCTGTCACGAATGCTGAGTTCGAAGTTAAAACTCCAGTATAAATCCTGGTTCTTCCACTTGCCAACTCTGTGAGCTTGGCCAAGCCTCAACCTTTCAGAGGCAAAGTTTCCATTTACAATATGGACTGCCCACCTCAGAGCTGTTGCAAAGATCATAGGAGATCATATGATAAAATGCTTTGTCGTTTCTTAAATGGTAAATACTTACTTTCAACTCAAAACAGAAATTGGATGCTAACAAGCTTTGAGTAATGGGATAATAAGTGATTTCATATATGTATATGTTGATAAATACATATACATATATATATCTCATTAACACATATTCCTTTTAAAATAAACAAAGTCATTTTAAAATAAATTAGCACAGGAATGTTTATCAATTCTTATTTTATATCACATCTTCTTATTTGCTGGATTTTTATTTTAATATTCTGTTTCAATTAATAATTACAGTCGTCAAATACGTATTTGTGGTAATCATCGATAGAGTTTTATCTACCACTACTTGAGCAACAGCCTTTGAAAAGAAGACAATAAGGATCCTAGATTATTATTGTCTAATTTCATAAATCAGCATGAAATCGGTTGCTGTGATGCTATACTGAAGAACAAGCCACATCGTTGACTACAGCACGTCTAAGCATTCAGATGCAAAATCCCGGGGCAAGACCTATTCCTGTTTGTATCCCCAAGAGCCTCCAACAGGAGCTAGCAGACAGCAGGTGCTCAATAAATGTTTGTGGATAAACCTGTTTTCCACATCAGTGATGATGTCACACTTCTAACTTGACTATCCTGTCATCGGGTAGTCCAAAATGTGCGTGTTCTGATGTACCAGAACTTTACAGCAACTTCTAGTTCTCTACTTATCAAATACAACTTAGAATTGTTTTTAGATATGACTGCTAATTATTTTGGTTTTTTGTGAAAACCATTTAGCTTCAATAAATAACACAAATAACTGAACATTAAGATACCAATCAGATGTCAACTCTTTTATTAGAACTTTACTCTTCATAATTTACAAAACGCTACTGCAGACCATCCATATGGATATAGGACTGCTGGATGACAGAAGTGTCAGTGGCTGCCACCAGTGTGTGGACCAGGGCAAAGAGGAGAGATGCTTAATGTTATGAGCCAAGAGGGAAAGACTTCCTGGAAGTAGTCAGTCTATATAATTCTTCCCATTGCCACTGTGAAGAGAGGAAGAAAGCAAAGAAAAAGAGAAATGAAAACCTTGCCAGAAAGTGTAATCGGGAGCAACAGCTGAAATTCACAGAAAGTGCTTCATAGAACAAGCTTCAAGTTTCAGAAGTGCACAGATCAGTGTGACAGCTAACACAAACAGGGGTCAATACAATAATGGCGAACATTTATTGAGTGGTTACTATCCACGAGGCACTATTTTAAGTGCTTTATAACTTTAATTGTTTTATTTCTCACTGCAACCCTATGAGATCAGGGCTGCCATTCCCCTACTGAACAGAGGAAGGCCACTTATTTAGTGGCATAGCATGGCATCCGAGGCCACGCTCTCCATCATTACGCTACACTCACTCTCTAACCATGGCTGGAAAATGACTCTGCATTTAAAGTTTGAATTATAAACAATTATAGACAAAAGGACTGAAAATTCTCATGAATTAGTGTGTGAGCTTTGAGAAAAAGAAGGGATCCTTCAAACACACACTCCTGGAGAAGGTGTAAACCACATGGGACACTTGAGAAGACCAAAATATACAAACTCAGGACAACAAAGAAGTAGTCATAGGCAGGATGAGGAGGAAGACATTTCCCCTCATCGTGCTTCTTAAAAGTACCCCCAATTCCCTAGAGGAAAGTAATATAGTTAACACCAGACCTGAGGTCTGTTCTCCCCACTTAAGAATTTAGCAAAGAATATGTCATTCATTCCATAGTCCGAGTTTTGTTATTCTCAATTATTCCTTTCTGCTCTCATTTTAAAGTCCTGAATAAAGAAACTACTTCAAGGATTACTGAAGTTCAGTGTGAGCACCAGGTGAGGCAGCCCAGACAAAGAAATGAGCCCACTTAAAGAATTACACCTTTAAGCGTATTTCCATCTGAGAGCGCAACTGAGTCACTTTTGCACTATTATCTCTTTGATCCCCACAACAGGAGGACAACAGGAAAGAAACTATTATTATCCTCCTTTTATAAGGAAGAAATAAAGAAGGTCCAGAGATGTGAAGGGATTTACCTACGTTCACAGCTAACAAGTCTTAGCCTGAGACTAGAATCCAGGCTTCTCTGTTCCTTCTCTCATCCTGACCCACTTTAGTGACAACATCTCAGATTTATTAATAAACAACACAACTGACTGATTGGGTCTACCCTCTGGTGAGTTCTCAGTGAGCAGTGAAATGTTCCAGAAGTGGACTGAGATGAGAAGGTAGAGCTTCTAGAACAGACTTAGAAAATGGAATAGTCATATAATAATAAATGCTTTTAGCACTTAGAATACACCAGTGTGCAAAGTGCTTTAAATATATTACCTCCTCTAGCCTTAAAACATCCCTGGGAGGGATATATATTAGCAGCTCTATTTTACAGATAAGGGAACTGAAGATTAAACAGGTTCATTTAAACCAAGGTAACAGCGTCCTGTATGACAGAGTTCTGTGTTGAGGTCTAGAACTCATGCCAGCCCAGTGAATCAACAGAGATAGGAACTGCAAGGCTGCCCTCAGCGCCATGGGCTGCCGGTCCTGCCCTCAGCTTCCCCTTCTCTGTGCACGGCTTTCCACTCCCCCTCTCCTCACCTGCTGGCTCTGAGCAACTAGCTGTTTCTCTGCTGAAGTCTTCTTTGCTGCAGGAAATCCCATCAGCCTTCTGGGAGGCTAGCACTCTGATGCTTTTGTGATATTTCCCTCCCTCAATTCAGAAGCATCTGAACAAACCAAAAAAGAAGTCGTTGACTCCCCTGGCAGGAATGTTTACTGGAACTCATGTTGGGGCACAAAATTTAAGAAAAATAACACTTTAATGCAATATCTTTAAAAATCGAAATTAACGCAAAAAAAAATACATTTTAAATAAAGGCAAGAGAGTCAACTCTTCACTTGGTACCACTCACTCCATCCCCTCACCCAGTCCCAGCCTGTCGGATCCTGACTGTATTTAAATTCTTGGTCACTTTGGACGTGTTTTGCATTAATTTTTACTTTTTAAAACATGGCACTAAAACATTATTCATCCCAGCGACAGAGTTGTTTTTGGGTTTTTTGTTTCTGAGTCTCCTTAAATTTTGTGCCTGAAGCCTCACTTGCCTCACCGTATCCCGGTCCTGGACTGGGTACATGAAAGATGCATCACAGGTGTGGGCTGTCCTTCCCCACCTCCTCTGTGTGTTAGCTGTTCTCTGTGTCAGCCCCACTGAGTAAGTGCCCGCCATATGCACTCAGGTTCATAGCTGAGCCGAGGAAGAGGAGGAAAGAAAGTCTTCATCACCTCGCACTAGAGCTGTAGGAAGAGTTTTGCTGCATTTCTTTCTCTTTCTTAAAGGACACTTTTTATACCATCAGTTGAGTAATTTGCCATGACGGAAATTCCTATCTTTGACACCCTCAAATCAGTGTTGACAGGTCATTTTAATTATTGAATTCCTATCACTGTTTCTCTAACGCAGTGATTCTCAATCTTTAGAAAGCTAATCTGTATGCCCAGGCTGCTGCCCAGATCCATTAAACCAGGATCTCCGGAGGCGAGCGCCTGGCATCTGCAATCTTTACAGCTTCCTAGGCGATCCCGAGGTGCAGGCAAGGTTGAGAAGGATCCCTTTAGTGAAATTCCCTGTGGTCCTTCCTGGAGGCTAATAACAGGCAGGGCTCCAGAGCCAGAGGGAGCTGGACTCAGATCCCAGCTTTCCCACATACTGGCTTGTGACCTTGGCCAAGACACCTGACTTTTGTTTCCTCAACTGTACTCTGGAGATAGTAATAGAACCTCCCTCTTGGACTTGTTTGAAGGAATCGAGCTGAGGCACCTGACACACCTCGCACAGCGTCTGGCGTGCGTGGGCCTGCATGCACTCAGGCTCCCACACACTCAATAGGCATTTCTTGTATCATGAGTTACGAATCTCTTCTGCACACAGAATGATGAAAAGCCCAAGGAATAAATAGATGAAGGCGGAACTGCCCTGTTGGAAGGCAGGGGTCAGGAGAGACTCAGACCCCGCTCTCCTTTCCCAGGGTGCTCTGCAGAACCCTCAGGGGCTCTGGGAAATACTTTGAAGACCACTAGTATGGGACATAATGACATTACAGGCCCAATTTTAGTCTGGGGTGGCTTTTTCTGCCTCACAACTGCTGTGCTCCTTTTCCAGTCTCTCTCCCAGTGGCAGGCATCCAGCTGGCTGGGCTCAGGGGCCGCTCTGTGGCCACAGGACACAGCAGAGCAGGGCTGCTTGGCCCAAGTGGCCTCTGTGGCCTGAGGCTTATTAGTGGAGTCAACAGCCACTAACTGAGTTCATCGACCCGCCGAAGACGCTGCTGTAAATTCCCAGTCCCCGTGGGATGAAGTCTCTGGGTTTTAGGTGTGTGGTGGTGACGAGGAGGCTTGAATGCGTTTCCTGTTCCAGAGTAGGAGTTATTTAAGTGCCCTGCGCAGGAAGACCCTGAAGGCATCCTGGCTTGGCGAGGATCGCTCCCTTCTGGAAAGAGTAGCTGCCTGTGTTCCCATCTGAGAACAGCTGTGCTCTCTTTGTTTCTGGGCAGTGTTGATTGTTTCAACCCAACCGGTCAAAAATCTCAGCCCAGTTCAGAGACCTCTGCCAGCCCCAGGCTGATCCAGAGAGGGTGAGGCAGAAGGCACAGATTGGGATCCGTGTGACTGAGGTTGGCTGTGCCTCAGAAATCATCTGTGCCACAAAATTGGCTGTAGCCCCTTCTCCCTCGGGGAGGCCCAGCTGAGCCCTGCTTGTTTGCGTGTGGCTTCCTCTGTTTCCTTTCATTTCTTGCAATCAATACAGCGTCTCTCTGTCTTTTTTTCATAAAGGGGTATTCCTTGTACCAAGTTAACGGCTGAATAAACTACTCAATAGTAAGAGCGTTTTGTTTTTTCCTCCCCTGAGCCTATTTCCAGACTTGTTTGGGAAGAAAGTTGATAGTTCATACCATGGTGTGTTTCAAATGCCTGCCTGGATTATTCTTTAGAGAAGCTTTTCCTTAGACTCATGGTAGCTGGGCTCTTGAATCGCAAGTAACAGAAACCAGTTTGTGCTGGCTTGAGCCATAGAGGGGAGTTTATTACAAGGAGAAAGGAACATCTCAAGGAAGCAAAGCCAGGAGTGTGGCCAGGCTGCAGGAAGGAACCGGGAGCTGGAAGGCTGCCAAGACACCTCTGCCGTGCCCCATCTCTGCAGCTCGGCTGTGTGCTGCTTTTCTCTCTCTGCCAACTGGCTTTTACTGCCTCTGTCTACGGGGAGAAACGCTGCTGTCACTCAGAGGGAGCTCCCATCACTGCCTCTCCAGGGATGTGCTCCAAACGACTGGTGTCTTTTGGCATCAACTCTCAGAAGAAAGGAACCTGGTCGGTCAGATTCCATCAGCGATGGTCACCGGACAGATAGGCCAGCGACTCTCTGCTCAACCAAACTTCCCAGGCTGGCTGATGATTAATCACTTGTGGAGATTTTTTTTTTAAATACAGACCCAGGCTCCACCTTAGAATCTCTAGGAGGAGGGCCCGAGACTCCATATTAAAAATTCCTCAAGCAATTCTGATGATAAATTAGATTTGAGAGCCACTGAAACCGAAGTCTTTGGTGTCCATTAATCTTTCTACTAAGGTCTAACGAGAGACGCCTTTTAAGCTGACTACTATTTGCAGAGGCTATGACTATAGGGCCAGAGTGAGCAATTCATTTCAGTGCAAATGTACATGAGTGCGATGGGGAACTCCCTGCCTGGCAGAGCACTTGCTGCAGAACCAGTCTGGCAGAAATCTGAGAAGCCAGCTCAGAGCTGGATCTAATAGCATTATGCTTAAAGGCTTCAAGGTCTGGACTTTTGAGACAAGAATTCAACAACAGTTCTCACCAGGTGAAATGTGGCTCAGTGTTAGCCAAGCAGATGATGCAGGGATGCGGGTCAACGTGACGGTCAACAACAGGTTTATAATCTCGGTCTTCATATGGAGACAAATAGAACTCCACTGGGAAAATACCATCATAAGGAACCAAGTTGCGTCTTATGTTCCCATGCTTTTATTTCTTCCACATGCCGTTTCTGCTGCTTGGGAAACTATTACCTCTTCTCTTTCTAGCATCTACTGGTTTGTTCTTTAGGACTTAACTTGTGTTCCCACTTAGAGGAAGCCTTCTCTGGCTCCCTAGTCCATTAATCTTTGCTTCTGCTCCTGTAGCATCCTCCGTATACCTTGATCACACCATGGATTGTAATCATTTGACTTCCCCATCACCTCTCCTTGATGATGGGTGGTTGGCATTTTGTTAGCTGAATCAGCTTGTATGGGGACTGGCGTGACCTGTCCTTCTACTGAATTGATGTAGTGAGAGTCTGCGAATCTGGTCCCCGGCTTCCCTTCTGTCCCTCACAACCCCCTTATTCCCACAGCCAAAGCCATTTCACTTTTGCCAACAATCTCAATACTTAACCATGGAAAACTTAAGGAGCCCTAGACCTGTGGCCCTACATCCAGCATGCATGCTAATTAGGACACCCTTGGTATCATGATGAATTTTGAAGATGTTTTATTTGTGTTCTACTCTATGATATTCTAGCTAACTCAGCCGTAGTTCACTAGGCATGATTCACATATTACTTCCCTTAACTCCTACAACAAGCCGACAAAGAAGGTGTTAGAGGGAAACCTGGGAGTCAGAAAGGTTAAGTAACCTGCCTAGGCCACACCACAGCATCAGAACGAAGATCAAAACCCAGATGTGGCTCCTAACCCTTATGCTGTCAAACACTAGGCTGCTCTTTAGGCCCCTTTCAAAATTTTCTTTACACTGTTATCTCTCTCTCCCTGTGTATGCCTTATTTCCTCAGTTAGAATGAAATAGTCAATAAGTGTCTATTAGCTGAATACAAACAATATACTTACGAGGGTATGAATTAATAAAAAGTGCCTAACCTCCTCTTATTGGTTATCAAGTATGGAATATTTTCTAGAAGTATTTGCTTAAGTTTCCAACAGAATGTGAGCGTGAGCCTTATCGCATCTTACCTACTTAGCATGACAGAGGAAAAGATTTTGCCACTATTGTCCTCATTTTCCATAAGACATTCCTGAACTCCAAGGAACCCTATTGTATGTGCTGTTGGTTTTAGGTGTGGCCTGTACATGGTAGGGTCTGAGAATGTGCAAGACACTGTGTCAAGACAGGGTGATGGGGCCAGCCTCAGCTCTCAGAGTATTCATAACTGAGTCACAAAAGAGTCATACAAGCCAGGCCTGAAACTGGGCACTTGGGGAGGGCACTCTCAAATACACCATCTCCATATCTGACAGCCTACACAAGAAAACATCCACCACCTGTCTTAAAGGAGGGATTCTTAAGAAGACACAAGAGTTCTAGGGGATGTCAGAAATGGTTTGCATCAATTTAAGTGGGAAAGTAGAAAGAAAATTTTAAAGCTAAATCAGAATTATGCACCCCCTCTACGCTCAAGCATGGTTCTCAACCTAAAGAGATGCACTTAGACATAAGAGTACAGTCAAACCCCGCCTATTCCAACGGAAGCGAGGAAGCCTAGACTGCTAGGAGACAATAGCCAAACTTTGCTCTCTGGTGGCTACAGTAAACTAGTCCAGAGCCTTCCAGAGATGACAGATGCACCAGGCCGATATATGACCCCACATTTGGGAGCAAGAGAGGAAAGGGTTGATTCAAGCCGGCTCAGGTTTCGTCTCCTGAGGGCA